GTGTGTGTGTGTGTGTGTGTGTGTGTGTGTGTGTGTGTGTGTGTGTGTGTGCGTGTGTGTGTGTCTGTGTGTCTGTGTATGTGTGTGCTGTGAAATATAAGCTTTATTATGAAAAATATACAAGGTAATGGATTGTCAATAAACAGACTTTAAACATTTTCAAAAAATTTTTGGTTTTTAAAAATGTTCAAGTCATTTGAATAGAACCTGTTCAAGTACTAATAAACAAGTAAGGATGAAGATATGGATAATTTTTAACTAAAAAACTTATTTCGATTAATTTAACAGTTTTAATCTGTTTACTCATTCAATAATATATCTTGGTATTTTAGGGTGATAATGATAGCAATGATAATAGACCTAACAGTTTAGGACAATGGTGATAATGATGATAATATAATTGATGAATCAAAATTAACCATACAATAAATAGTTCATTTGCATTTGAAATTAGTTTAAAAAATTTCATTTTAATTCATCAAAACGTTATATCGATCAAATAGTACAGTAAATAACTTAATGACAAATGTTTTTTGTTTCATTTCAAAATTTTTCATTTGAATTTTTTTTCAACTTATTAAAAATTCTATCACTTGTATGAATAAATATTAAATTTCGCAATGTTAAAATCTCAGTTATTTTTACATAGTCAATACTGAAGTGAAAAAAAATTGAACAATTTCAAAATTAATTCATTATTATTTTATAATATAATTGCCATTTCAAACAAATTTTTTTTTTTAATTCATTGCAAGTTTCTTTATTCATTTTTAAAGTTTGCTAATCGTGACAGTTATCCTTCTTTAAACATTGGAAAATACTCTTACCAAACCTTACATCAAATAGTATTTAAATTAAACAAACTAAACCATATAAAAAGCAACATTTTCCATATTTTACAGTTTAGTTTACCTTAATTCATTTTGGTCAGAAAAAAAACTTTCCCATTCTTTAATTTTTAATTAATAAATTTTTGTTAATCAAAAAATTATTCCATTTATATGGATAGCAATAATCAGTACAACTATATTATTTATTGTTTTTGTTTTTATTTTTTGCTACAAGATTTTCATTTTGCTTTTTTTTGGCTAATTCTATTAATGCTTAATTAATTAAACTCAGTTAAAACTTGAGATGTTTTCATTTGTGTTAGTAAAACTAATTTAAGTCATTCCAAAAAATAGGAATTAGATTTAACAAGCACAAGTCTAATATTATGGTATACTTGTCAAAATTTATCCCACTACGTTTATTTTAAGTAGTTTTTTCGTAATTCTTCCTCGACTTATTTAATTAAGCTAATTAATTGTATCTATCTTTTCGTGCATGTATATGATGACTGTTTCTACTAATTTTTTTTTTTTTTGTGTTTCATTAATTTGTTTCAATATTTTCATTTAAATCAAATTCTCGTCTTACAAGATGAGAATAAAATCCACTCTTGATGATTTTTTATTTTCATTTTTACTGCAAAATTAAAGTCTCTTCCTCAGGTTTATTCTTTGACATTAACAAATTAATTTAGCATTTTCAGGATAAACTGAAAATGCTAACACATAATTTTTATGAGGAAATAATAAAACAAAATGATCAAATATAGCATATATTGATTGATTTTAGAATTTTTAAAAGATTTTCAAAAAAATTATAATAATTTTGTAGAGAAATAAAATTCTATCGATTAATTTATATATGTATGTATTGATAAATAATCAACCATAAATATATTTTTAATCATTCCATGCATATCGTTAATTTACATAACATATGCTTCAAGTTTTTGATTCATTAATTAATCGCTGTGCTTTGTACGAAAAGGAAGAAATTAATAAATTAAATTTAAATTATGTACTTAAGAAAAGCAACAAGATTTTGAACATAATTTTTTATTTCTTGAAATTAATGAAATTTAGGATATGATACTTAAGCTATCGATGTTGGTGAATCTATTTTGCTTATTCCATTATGCATTTCAATCAGCTCAAGGTTATCGTACTACTTCCATCAATAAAGACAATAAATTTATTATTATTGTTATTGTTATCATTATTATTATTATTACTATTATTATTATTATTATTATTATCATTATTATTATTGTTATTATTATTATTATTATTATTATTATTATTATTATTATTATTTTATTATTATTATTATTATTATTATTATTATTAT